TACATAGTGAAACCTTGTCTCCAAAAAAAAAAAAAGTAAAAGTAAAATAAACCCAGAGCTGGGTGTGGTGGTGCATGCTTGTAATCCCAGCATTTAGGAGGCTGAGGCAGGAGGATCACTGAGAGTTTGAGGCAAGCCTGGGCAATTTAGCAAGATCAAGTCCAACCTGAACTACAAAGCAAGACCGTCTCAAAAAACAAAAACAATAACCCTTCCAAAAAAGATATATGCTACAAAAAAAAAAAATCCGAGTTACTTCTGGGTCCAAACTGAATGGTTTTTCAGCTTTTTAAAGATCTTTTTAAAGTAAAGCATAGTTGGACACAGCTTTATTCACTCACTCAACAGAAGGTAAAGTCCTGACTCCGTGGAACACTATAGTGGACACTACAAAGACAGAGGGGAGAAAAAAGACTCCATCCCTATTCTAAAGGTGCTCTGCTTACTGAAAAGATGATCATCTCAGAGAAATACAAACTGAGAGCTGAGAGAACCTGTGATGGGCACACTGACCCAGCCTGGACATGCTCAGAAGGGCTTTCTGACAACACAGCAGTCAAGTTGGGGTCTGCATGGAGCTCACTCACATGTCTAGGAAGAGCTCTCCAAAAAAGCAGCAAACTGGCCTGGGAGCCCCAGCACCTTCAGGGCTTTCATCCTCAAATGACCTCTTTTTTTTTTTTTTTTAGGATAACAAGCTATGCTATGAAAATGGTAAAGGCTAGTAGTTCTAAATTCTGGGTAGGGTGGGAAGCATGGTCTTCCTCACCTCTGAGAACCCCACATCACCAGGCATAGTAACAGCTGTATGATCGGAGCTATTCAAGGCTTCACTGAAATGATTAGTGTCAGTAAATGTGGTTTATTTTTTATTTTTATTTTTTGGAGACAGGGTCTTGCTACGTAGTTCAGCCTGGCCTTGAACTCACTTATGTAGCCCAGGCTGGCCTCAAACTGGAGGCAATCCTCCTGCCTCAGCCTCCCAAGTGCTGAGACTACAGGTGTGTGCCAGCATGCCCAGCTAGTGACAGTATTAATGTTCAAATTATTTTATGTTAAGTCAAATAAATTCACAAAACTACATCTCATGCAAGGAACCCCACTCTGAATTTCAATTGTGAAAAGACGCCTTTATCTTCCCCACAGGGGTACACAGTGAGACATGCTATAGCAAAATGCTGGGGGAAATTCTGGTACTGTGACCAAAAGGCAGAATCAGTACCTTCTTTTTTATTTAGGTACTAGGGATTGAACCCAGGGCCTCTGCATTGAGATATATCCTCAGCCCATTTTTTAATTTTTTGAGACAAGGTCTCAGTAAGTTGCCAAGCTGGGCTCAAACTCATGATCTTCCTGCCTCAGCCTCCTGAGTGCTGAGATTACAGGCCTACACCATCCATCCTGGTGGAATCAGTATCTTCTGATTAAAACACTTCTTTAGATCAGTTTGTGCTTCATTTTCCTCACAATAAGAAAAACCTATGACAGGTTTGGGGGGGGGGTGCTGCTGCATATACAGTGTTGATGTGACTTTTAGAACTTTAATAACAAACGATCACTCAGCACATATGCAGTAGGTTTGCCACCCCGGCAAATATTGTACTCTAAGGTCCTTTGGAGCTCTAGACACTGACCCCCACATGTGCTAAAAGGGCCAAGATGACACTCCTGGGGTCGCCGGCAGACCATCTCGCATCTACTCCACTCCCACAGGACCCTCAGGAAAGACCTATTTTACACACACACACATTTCAGTTGAATCTAAATTTCATCCAAATTAGAGCTCCTAAGTGACCTGAACAATTGCTGTAAAACTATGCACCTTGAAAAAGAGAATGAAAGCCAAACCAAAAAAAAGTCAATATAACCAAAAAAGACTATCTACTAACCCTCCAAATTTAGTTTCATAAATAATTTGCTGTTTTAAAATCAGAAAACAGTCACAAAAGTAACCACTTATACCCAGGAATGATAACTGCAAACTCACTGATGGAAATTACAATGGTTATTAGATTTAAGTGTTGGCCACATAACACCAATGTATCTATAAGATACTGCCCTATGAAAATGAAATTTTACCAAAAAATTAAAGTGCTCAAATTGTACAGATAAAGGCAATTTAATTTACATAGTTCAGATTTGTCTTGTTTGAAAAAATTTTTTGATGTAGTTTTGAAAAGCTATTAGTTTTACTCTTCAATGAACAGTGTCTCGCTAAAAGAGAACACTATTACAGATTCTTCCAGGTGAGTGACCTAGGTTTTTGTTGCTGTTGTTGTTTTGGTTGGGTTTTGTTTTATTTTGTTTTGGAGACAAGGTCTCACTCTGTAGTTCAGGCTGGCTTTGAACTCACTATACAGCTCAGGATGGCCTGAATTCCCAGCATTTCTTCTGCCTCAGCCTCCAGAGTGCTGGGGTCACAGGTATGTGCCAACATGTCCTGCAAGTGACCTTTTTTAATGATGCAAACCAGGACTACCAGATCCAAATGAGGTTTGCCGTGAGAATACAGTGGATCCTTGACTTACAAACTCGATCGGTTCCCAAGGGTGGTTGGAACTAAGTCAGTACAGCTGAGATCTGGATGTTTACCTGGGTACCCGCTATAGATAACAAGAGGCAGATGAATCTTCATTAACCTAATTAACCCCAGTTGTTCATATGTCAGGCCAGTCATAACTTGAGGGTCCACTGTACTTCAGAAGGTTTTTTTTTGGTACCGGGGATTAAACTCAGGACCTTGTGCTTTCGAGGCAGGCAGTGGAACCACTGAGCTAAATCCCAGCCCTATACTTCAGTAGTTTGCTGGCACACACCCCAGAATCCAGCACTGTGGGAGGTTGAGTCAGGAGGACTACAAACTCAAGTCCAACCTAGGCCACCTGGTGACTTAGTGAGACCCTGTCTCAAAAAAAAAAGCTGGGAATGTAGTTCAATGAGAGGGCCCTAGGTTCAATCCTCAGAACAGGAAGGAAGGAAGGAAATAACCTTTCAGGGATAGGGCTGTACTTCAGCAGTAGGGCGGCACAGGCCTACCATTCAAGAGGCCTTGGGTTCAATCTCCAGCATCACACATGAGCCAGGGTTTCATTATGTATGTAGTCCAGGCTGCCCTTGAATTCACAATGATCCTCCTGCCTCAGCCCAGACTGCTCAGATTGCAGGGGTGTACCACCAAACCCAGCTTAAAAAAAAAATCTTAAAGTAATGTTTGCACTTGTAAATGCTAATGTTAGTGAATTTAGTTTTTAACCACATTGTGGTTTACGTAAACATAAATCCTAAAACTGATTTTTGGCGGAAAAAATAAAACCTGATCTTTTCAGTCCTAGCCTAAACGTCAAGATGGCAGCTTTCCATTCGACAATTACTTAATGCCTTTTTTTTGTGTGGTGGTGGTACCACTGAGCTACAACACCAGTCCTTTTTACTTTTTATTTTGAGTCAGGATCTTGCTAAGTTCCCCATGTTACCCTTGAACTTGAGATCCACTTGCCTCAGCCTCCAGAGTAGTTGGCATGCACCACTGCACCTAATGTTTGTTTTAGCTATATTTTACATCTACTGAGTGTTTCAAAGCTTTAAAATCCACTGCAGTTATTACATTATTAATTACAACATGTGCACTGCAATATTCCCTTTTCAAAGACCTGCAAATTATAGTTAAATAACTTATCCAAGGTCACCCAACAAATAAGCCTGTGACACAGTTGGGAGCAGCACTAAAATTACAGCTCCCAGGCAACTAACTACTACACTTTCCCAATTCCAAAAAAGAGAGGAAAAGTCAAGCGATTTAGTATCAGAAACCTCTAATAACATGCCCCAAGTGTAAGTATCAGTCAGTGTACTTATTCTAATAAACGCGAATAAGGATTCACCTTGAATGAAAGAAATAACTCGCTAACATTTTAGATACCTTTTGTCACAAGCAGAAACACTGTACTGCATCTGTATATGTGACATTCTAGAGGCTGCCCGCTCTTCATCATGTAATTTATTTTCACACTGAGCATTTATAAATTAATCTGTTACCACCTTGCCCCATCCTGAGGTGCTAATTCCCTTGTTTTCCTAAGAGTCAAGTCAAAGACCACCACCTCAAAAAGTGGGCAGTTCTCTCAACATAGTTACATCGCCAAAGAAAGAAAAGCTCTAATAAGTTGCTACTTTTAGAGAAATATCTTAAAACATGACTACATGCTTCACAGAATTACCAAGGTCGACCGCCAAGCCGAGGAGGAGGGTTTCTTTAAAGTAGCTTTTAAGGTATGTCCTTCCCTCTTTGGGACACAGCCTGACTTGTCGGACAAGATTCATCCGGCACGCTCACGCAGCGCCCAGAGAAGCAGCTCAGCCCGCTGGAAACATTATTTCCACTTCCCGGCTCTGGTACTCAGCCCTCGCAGGCTGCAAGGGAAAGGAGGACCCTCTTTCTGTCTTTCGGCAAAAGGTTCCCTTCGCGGAGCATTTTGGAAACACAAAGTACCAACCAGAAGGAGAGGCTCTGGAAGTGTCAGTGCGGCAGCAGGTGGAGTGGCCCTGCGTGCCGAGCCGGTCCCGGCTGACCCAGTCTCGGTCCTCCGCCTCCCAGCCCCGGGTCCGCCTTACGGACCTTTTTGAGCCACCTTGCACCCTGATCTCCAGCCCAGAACGAGATTCCCACCCTCCCGGGAGCCGACGAGCCGGCCGCGGCACCTCTTCCGGGGACCCGCAGGCCCGCTCCCGGCCGTGTCACAGCCTGCCGGACCCTGCCCGAGGACAGGGCCCCGGCTCCCTCGGGCCTCCCGGCAGGAACCCCGCACGCCGCGGCCCCCGCCCCGCCCCGCCCCGCCGCCGCCCTCCACAGCCCCTTCCTCAGAGCACCCGGCGGAGTTGCCGGCCCACTCAAAAGTGCGAGCGGCGGCCAGCCCACCGGTCACCCTGGGCCGGCTGTCACCGCCCCGCTCCCCGCCTCCGGCCCCGCCGCTGGCGGACCCCGGTGACGCTCGCGTCGGTACCTTGCGGACCCCCTTGTAGATATAGAAGTAGAGCTCCCGGCCCACATTGAAGCAGAGGCGGTCGCCGTTGCCAGACTGGTCGTTGAGGTTTACGAAGGAGACGCGGACAGGGTTGGATCCCTGTGAGTTGAAGGGCACCCGGTTGGGCCGGCTGTACTCCGAATGCTGCAGCTGCTTGTACAGACCTTCCCGGGTGGTGAATTGGGTCTTAATCTCGTTCATCTCCTTCCCTCCTCCCTCCGTCGCCATCTTGGAAAGCAGCGTTCATCCTGCCCTAAGTGCCCGGATCACGCCCACCGCGCAGGCGCCGTCCCCGGCGCTCGCTCTTCCCCCCCCCGCCCCTCCCCCTGGTCCCGCCCACCCTCGATCCGGCCGGGGAAGGCGGGCTGAGGGGAAGGGGCGGGCTTGTTTACGCCCGGACTGCGCACGCGTACTCACCTGGCGCGCCGCCTACACGCACGGAGGGTTCTCGGGCTCCTCTCGCGGGCGATCGTGCTGTCTGGCCGTTCCGGGGTCGCGAGGGTTGGGACGGACCCGGGCGGCCTCCTCCGCGGTGCCCACCGCGGCCTTGCCGCCTGAGGCGCGCCGGGCCGGGCCGGAGCCTCGAGTCCGGTTCTGAGGAATCGCACTGCGCTTTCTAAGGCGGGGCGGGGAGGAGGAGACTGCGCGAGCTGCAGGGTTTCAACATCACTGTAGTTTCCAAAAGGCAGAGACGAGAACCCTCAAGACACCAGGATGTGTTCTCACGTTAGTCCCAGTCTCCTGTAAGTGTTATTTTGCGTCAAAAGTATGTATTTATAACGATCACCTGGGTGAACAGTAACGTCCTGAGTGATTGAAAAAGTAATTCGGCTGTTGTTCCTAGTTACGGAGAGGAGGGAAGATAATACTTTTGGGGGGAGGACCCTCATCAAGCAAAAGTTAAAAGAAAAAATTGTATTGGCTCTATACACCTCAAGCATTCTATCAAGGTATCATCCTCTTGGGGTAGGCGTGGTGGCACCCACTTGTAATCCCAGCCCTCGGGAGGCTGAGGCAGGAGGATTACCATGAGTTCGAGGCCAGCCTGGACTACATAGCAAGACCGTGTCTCCAAAAATAAATAAAAATTTAAAGTTGTATGCTCTATAAATTCCTTTGTGTGTGTGTGTGTGTGGTGGTGGTGGTGGTGGTGGTGGTACTGGGCATCGAACCCAGGACCTTCACATTAAACCCCTACATCCCCAGTACTGTTTGTTTCTTTGTTTTGAGTCAGAATCTCAGTCTCCCAGGCTGGGGTGGAATTTGCAGTCCTCCTACCTCAGCTTCCCAGAGTGCTGGGATTACAGGTGTGCACCACCACACCCAGAAATTCAACATCTTATTATCGTTACATTAATAATAGGCTCTTTGTGTTATCCACAGCCTTTTGATAATTTCAGTTTTCAGTACCTTTCTCTTGTAATTTTTATCCCCTCACACTCAAGGATTCAATAAATAAGACCCAAATCTGTACAGCTGAGTCCAACCTGACTTTCAATTTCACACCAGATGCGTATTTCAGTCTAAATGAATTAGTGCTATTTAAAACTTAGGGCACCTGTAATCAATCCTAGCACTTGGGAGGCTGAGACTAGAGAATCACCATAGGTTTGAGGTCAGCCAGCACTGTATAGCAAAAACCGGTCTCAAAAAAAAAACCCAAATAAATAGATAAATAAATAAAACTTGAGCTCAGCACAGTGATGCACACCTGTAACCTCAGCACTCAGGAGCCTGAGGCAGGAGGATTACTGCAAATTTGAGGCAAGCCTAAACTACATAGCAAGACCTTGTCTCAAAAACTGAAAAAAAAATTTTAAAAAGCAAAGCAAAACTTGAACTGAGCCAAGTATGGTGGCGCGTGCCTGTAGTACTAACACTCTGGGAGGCTGGGGCAGGAAGATCCAAATCCAGCCCAAAATGAGCAATTTGGTGACTTGGGCCCTGTCTCAAAATAAAAGGTCTGGGAATGTAGCTTAGCAAAAACAAAATTAGATAAAACTTAAATTGGGGCTGGGGTGTAGCTCAGTGGTAGAGCACTTGACTAGCCATCCATGAGATCCTGGGTTCAATTCCCAGGACCACAACATAAATAAATAATTTGAATCATCATAATGGTTTTCTGAATTATTTCCTTAGTATCACTTTTACTCTCAGCTTTCTTCCTCTATGCCTCTTCCAAGTTAATTTTCTTAAAATAGTGATTTTAACATTATATTCTTAGACCAGGGATTTAGCTCAGTGGCAATGCTCCTGCCTCTCAAGTGCAAGGTCCTGAGTTCCATCTCCAGTACAAAAAAAACCAAAACACATTATATTCTTTTTCCCAATAACCTGGAATATCTGCATTATTTGTTATACACCAGCAATTCTCAGTCTGTTCCTTAGAAATTGTCCATTCTAATCAATCTGTTCTATCACCATTGGCTTTGTCCCTCACTTGAAAAGTCCTTTTCCTCTTACATTCATAGGCTGCTGTGGTGTGTGTGTGTGTGATTGGGGAGTGAACCCAGGGCAAATTACCCATAGCAGCTCATACTTGTGATCCTCCTGCTTCAGCCTCCCGGAGTGGTGGGATTACAGGCCTGCACCACCACTCCTGGTTTAAGGACTTTTTCTTTTTTTTTTTTTTTGGTAAAGGGGATTGAACTTGGGTCCTTGCACTTGCAAGGCAGGCAGTGGAACCACTGAGCTAAATCCCTGGCCCTATTAAGGATCTTTTTAAGGTCATCAAATACAGCACATTCAGCCAGCACATACAATGTGGCACTATGCTAATACTTACATATTCTTGCCTTTTACATAGACCCTGATGTGCTCACCATGTGCAAGGACCTGGGTTCAATCCAGTCCCCAGCACCACACACACACATAGCTGGGGCATGGTGGCCCTCACCTATAATCCCAGCACTGGGAGCCTGAGGCCAGAGGAGCCCAGTGAGTTTGAAGCCAACCTGGCACTGTGAGACTCTTTCAAAAAAACCAGAAAACAGGATTTATCTCAGTGGCACCTTGAAAGGTCATGAGTTGGATCCCTGGTACCAAAACAACAACAACCACAAGAGAATCCATTGTCACAAAACTGATACTGTCACAACCAATTGAATTATTTAGAATATCTTAGAACTGAACCGTAATTAGGACCTCACTTTTTGCACTGAGAACCTTTGCTCGCCTTGTTTTGTCATTGTTAAACTCCTCAAGTAGGAAGTAAGCTACAGCTTATCTAAGCAGCCCAACAAATAGTGTGAGTTTCTACAAAAAAAAAAAAAAAGTGTGAGTTTTATCTTTGTGGAGATTACAACAAAGACTTTCAGGCTTAATGCCCTTAAACAAGAAGCAGAGAGGAGGTTGAAGAACTAGTGTGCTGTATGTAAAGAAAGATTATGAGCCAGGTGAAGTGGTGCATGTCTGTAATCCCAGCACTCAGGAGGTTGAGGCAAGAGGATTCCCTTGAGTTTAAGACCAGCCTGGGCTACGTAGTAACACCCTGTCTCAAAGAACCAAATGGAAAGAAGAAAGATTTTTCACTTGGGTGTGGTCAGTAGTACCTCCCCACAACTCTGGAGAGGCTCAGAAACCTTCTTGGCTGTTGAGAAGCAGCCACCAAAGCTGATCCCCAGCCATAGAATGCTGGGAAGTTGTATTTGGGGGTCTGTGGAAGGAAGGAAGATGCATTCGTTAATTTAAAACTTCACTGGACTCTGTGAAGAAAAAAAAAACTTCATTGGAAAGGGGTGTAGCTCAGGTGGAATGCTTGCTTAGCAAAGTGTGCAGGCATTGAGTTCAATCCCCAGAAATTTTTCAGCCAGCCCTGGTGATGATGCACATCAGTAATCCCAATTATTCGGGAAGCTGAGGCAGAAGGATCCCAAGTTTGACAGCATCTCAGGATGAAAGGACGGGCCCAGTCCCCAGTACTGCAGTGTAAAATCACTGTAGGAGTTTCCAGTGCAAAGGCTCCACCTAAGACGGGGGAGGGGGGGGGTGTCCTCCTGGAGGCCTGTCGTCCCCTGGACCTTACGGAGAACCATTCCTGCAGAATCGGAATCCCCGAGTGCTGCTAGGTGCACAGCGAGCGCTCCACTCACACTGACTGCCACCTGGGCCTGGCGCGTTGCTCTCCACCTTCCTGTTTCTGCTCCTTCATCTCCTCTCCCTGCCGCTTCCTGCGCAGGGGACTGCACTTCCTCCTACCTTCCTCCTACCTATCCTACCTATCCTACCAGGGGTCCCCGAGGGGAGCAGAAGGCCGCTCATCCTCAGACCCCGAGTCCCCTGCGCTGGCTGCGCGCTTGGCTCTGCATGTTCATCCCTCGGCTTTTGGCCAAAAGGCTACTTTCCCCGCCTCAAATCTAAGTCAAGTCCCAGATTTCTCATCGCACTGTTATTTCCTTCATTGCGCTTGCCACGCTTTCTAAGAGTGTTTACTCAGCCTCTGGGAGAGCAGAGTCTCGCTCCCCACTCGGGGCTAGGCGGGGCCTGCGGTGGTCACTTCCCTTGCAGAGTTCCACACCTTATGTTAATGCTTACTCTGGGACACTGCTGTCCCGTCCCCCTGGACTGCTGGCCACACATGACCGCAGCACACATAACTTGAAAGGTGCCCATTTGTGCTTGCTTTTCTCGAAGCTCACTCCCAGGTGAAACCCTGCCATGAGTCACAAGACTGGTGCTTTTTTTTGCCAGCAGTACTGAGGATTGAACCTCGAGCCTTCATACTGAGCCACATCCCTAGCCCATTTTTAAAAATTTTGAGACATTGTCTTGCAAAGTCTCCAAATTGCACTGGCTAGACTCAAACTTGGCAATCCTCCTTCCTCAGCCTCCCAAGTGCTGGGATCACAGGTGTGCGTCACCACATCCAGCTCATTACTTTTTTAACATGAAAAAATTAATTGATGTTTGAATATTAATTTTATAACCTGCTACCCTATTCATTTTGTTGGTACTGGGAATTGAACTCAGGGCCTCCCACTTGCCAGGCAGGGGTGGTGCTGCTCAGCTACATCCCCACCCCTGCCCTATTCTTTTGTCTTAGTGTTTTGAACAGTTTTTCAGTTCATACTTAGGTTCCCCAGCATACAATCATATAGTATATAAATAAGGATTATCTGTTTTTAAACTTTAATATACTACACTGGCCAGTATTTCCAACACAATATTAAATAATGGAGTCACGAAGCCAGGCATGGTGGTGCACGCCTGTAATCTCAGCACTCAGGAGGCTGAGGCAGGAGGATCATCCTGAGTTCAAAGCCAGCCTGAACTACATAGTGAGACCC